AGGAGAGAGAGGGATGAGAACAGAGGAGGGGGCACAGGGGGAATACATACATACAATACATTTCATTCAATACATGCCTGTATGAAATGTCCTTCTGTCACACAGTACCATGTTCAAGAGTATGTTCAGGAAAACATGTCTCGAAGCTGGAGAGATTGTTGTTGGAGAGGTGGTGGGGACAGACAGGTAGACAGATAGGGAGGAGGAGGGATGCCTGCCTGCATGCATAGGATGGACTATTAGTAGATGAACTTCAGAAAAGAATCACACACTCTGCAACATGGGCACATGCGTGCACATATGCACATATACACATGCATTTACCACACACACACATAGAGCAAGGGATTAAGTGCTCACAGAACCTGGGAAAACACCACTTCAGCTCTGTGGTGTTCTGGATGGGAAATATCCACATAGGCTGGTGTGTTGCACTTGATCCCCAGTTGGTGGCGCTGTTTGAGAAGGGTAGGGAGGAAGTACGTCCCTGGAGGTGGGCTTTGGGGTTTTATAGCCTGGCCCCAGTCTCCCCGCTTTCTTTGATTCCTGGTGTGAGGATAAGTGTGATCAGCCAGCTTTTGGCCCCTACCAATTGCCGCCAGGCTTTCCTCACCATATGGATTCTAGTTCTCTACAACCATAAACCAAGTAAGTTCCTTCTTCCTTGAGTTGCTTTTGGTCACAGTATTTTTATCACAATAACAGAAAGGTAACTAACATAGCCATTATGAGGCAGGCTTTCTGTCTCCTGGAGTTGGGGAGACTAGTGGTTTTATGCCCACCATTTCTTTAAAGTCAGACCCTGCCGAGAATGAAGTCCCACATTCCACACTTCAGTGTCTGAGGAATGTGAGCACTGGGCTCAACTGTGTGTGTCCCTCTCCATCAATGACCTCTCTTCCATCAGGAGTGCCATTTTCTAGTCTTCATTAGTGTCCTAGGTAGAGGGCTGTTGCCTCAATAAAACAACGACCCAAAACAACTTTGGGGGAGGAGGAGGGTGAAGGGTTTATTTGGCTTGCACATCTGATCACATTCCATCACTGAGGGAAGTCAAAAGCAGGAATGTAAGCAGGGCAGGAACCCAGTAGCAGGCACTGAAGCAGAGACCATGGAGGAGCCCTGCGTATTGGCTTGCTCAGCTAGTTTTCTTAAATAGCCAGGACCACATGCCCAGGGATGTCCCACCTACAGTGGGGTGGGCCCTCCTACATCAATCAATAATCAAGAAAATGTCCCTAAAGACATGCCCACAGGACAATCTGATGGAGGCAGTTCCTTAACTGAGAGCTCCTAGGTGTGTCTAGACTTGTGTCTTGGGCACAGGCTGCAATGTCTTTGCTACCTCCACATTGACATCCATGCAGGCACACAGTAGGTTTTCCATGAATTAACTTAGCCATTTTTTTTTCTTCAAGTATCTGACATGCCTACTATGTGCTTGGTCTAATCCTGAGCACCAAAGACAGAGCAATGAGGAGGCTCTGTTTCCTACACCTTCAGTGGAATCCTGTGCCAGCCTGGAGCATCCTGCTTCCCTTTACCCCTGACATAGACTCCATCTGGACTCAAGAACATTACAACCACTTAACGACAGTCCGTCAAATACAGATTGAAGAAGCTTTGACCATTGCACCCCCCAGAGGAGGGCACCGATCAAGACAGACTTTAAAACTATTGAAAAGCATGTGACGAAACTAGAATCTTCGCACACTGCAGCTGAGAATGTCCCCTGGTAGGTCTCATTTGGAAAATAGTTGGCCCGCTTCTCAAAAACTTAAATGTGGAGTTCCCAAGTATTTGCATGCTGTCCAAGCTTCCCTGGGGAGATGTTTGCAAGCATCCCCTCTCCTTCGACAGGACTCCAACTGACCACAGTAGTGCTTCCACCTAACCCCAAGTCCATCTCAGTGAACCAGTGAGCTTATTTATTGGGTTTCCTTATAGGAGCATGAGTGACCCCACCCCAAGCAGCTGCACTACCAAAACGTCCTGTCCTAGTGTCTTAGGGTTTTATTGGTATGATGAGACACCATAACCAAAGCAACTCTTATAAAGAAAAGCATTTAACTGGGGCTGGCTTACAATTCAGAGGTTTAGTCCATTATAGTCATGGCAGGAAACATGGTGGCATGCAGGCAGGCATGGTGCTAGAGAAGGAGCTGAGAGTGTTACAGCTGGATCCACAGGCAGCAGGAAGAGATGGAGAGCCACTAGGCCTGGCTTGAGCTTCTGAAACCCCAAAGCCCACCCCACCCCCACCCCCAGTGACACACTTCCTCCAAGGCCACATCTCCAATAATGCCACTCCCTATGAGTCCCTGGGGGCCGTTTTTTATTCAAACCACCACACACCTAGCATGGATGATGACTTCCCCACAGCTGTACAGATGGAGTCCCCTCTTCAGTTAACCTTCCACTTCTTACATACTCTAGCACCACCTGAGACCAGTGAAGCTGGGCAGAGTTACACACTGCTGGGAATGGAGGTGTGGGAACAGGAGAGAGGGAACGGCTCTGTCTCAAGTGAAAGTGCAGTGATACTCCCCAGTGAGGGAACATCAACAAGCCCCATCATTTGAGGGTCTCATGTGTGGTGGTATTGTGTTCCCCAAAATATTGTGTACTCTAATAAATTTATCTGGGGTCAGAGAACAGACAGCCACTAAATACAAAGGCTAGAAAATGGTGGCACTCACACCTTTAATCCTAGCATTCCAGAGACAGAAATCCCTCTGGATCTCTGTGAGTTCAAGGCCACATTGGAAATAGCCAAGCATAGTGACACACACCTTTAATCCCAGAAAGCCAGCCTTTAATCCCAGGGAGTGGTGGTAGAAAGCAGAAAGATATATAAGGCGTGAGGACCAGAAACTAGAAGCATTTGGCTGGTTAAGCATTTGGCTGGGTAAGTATTTTGGCTGGTTAAGCATTCAGGCTTTTGAGCAGCAGTTCAGCTGAGACCCATTCCGGATGAGGACTCAAAGGCCTCCAGTCTGAGGAGACAAGACCAGCTGAGGATCCGGCGAAGGTGAGATAGCTGTGGCTTGTTCTGTCTCTCTGACCTTCCAGTATTCACCCCAATAACTGGCCTCGGGTTTGATTTTATTAATAAGTACTTTTAAGATTCCTGCTACACTCATGACTCACCCCAGCTTCTCTTAACAAGATGGTAACAGCCCAGACGATAGCATTCCACAATGTTATGACTTAGCCACTGTACTCCCAGGCATAAGCATCTCTCCATGCAAAGACTTGTGCATGAACGGTGCACGGCATCAATAGAGGATCTGTAAACAAAATGTGGTACGCCTGTACAGGGGGATAACATCCAGCTCTCAAAACAACTGTAGCACTGTGACATGAAGAAATCCAGAACTTATGTGTGCTAAGTGAAAAGAGCTGGTCACAAAGGGTCACATTGCATAATGTATATAGAGCTCAGACCAGGCAGGCAGAGCCACAAAGACAGAGATGGGGCTAAGGATCACCTAGGGCTGGATCCAGTGAGGAAGTGAAGGGATGCTGATTGCTAGTATTCAGCACGTTGATGAGCAGCTCTGTAAGTGTACCATTCGTGGTACACATAAATGAAGATATTTTAAGATACTGAATTATTCCTTGATGAAACTGTGCTGATACTCTTTTAGATGAAAAAAATCATTCAATGGGGGTCAAGGACCCCACAGGAAAACTCACAGAATCAACTAATGGGCTCATAGGGGATCACAGAGACTGAACCGACAATCAGGGAGCCTGCGTGGGTCTGACCTAGGCACTCTCTCTTCATAGATGTTATAGTTATGTAGCATGGTCTTCTTGTGGGTCCTAACAGCAGGAGCAGGGCCGTCTTTGACTCTGTTGCCTGCTTTTGGGACTCTACTTCTCATATTGAGTTACCTTGCCGAGCCTTAATATGAAAGGAGGTGCCTAGTCTTACTGCAACTTGATATGCCAAGTTTGGTTGATAACCATAGGAGGCCTGCCCTTTCCTGAATAGACACAGAGGAGGAGTGGATGGGGGCAGAGGAGAGGTTGAAAAGGGACTTGAAAGAGAGGAGGGAGGGGAAACTGTGGTTGGGCTGTAAATAATAATAATAAAATAATAATAATAATGATAAACAATTTTATAAAAAAAAGAATCACTCAATATATAAAATGGAAACCTCAGTCTGACTTGGAGGTTGGGACTTAGGGGCCACCATGAAATGATCTTCGTGAAGTCTGTCAAGTATTTTGAAGACCTGAAGCCCCTCCCAATGCAACATAATGGTGTTAGCAAGAGAACAATCCGTCACCAGCCTTTAACCTTTTCAAAAACATTGAGAATTTGTATCCCACAGCAATGACCTATCTTCTTTGTTAAATGTCAAGGGCCTCAGGAGAAGACGCCAACTCTTTTTTTTTTTTTTTCTCCCCAGTGGGATATGGTAACCAACATTGGCCACTGAGACATATCAACAGGCTGGACGAGGTTCAGCTTCCCTGACAACAGGTAGCATCAGTGAGTCATTGTGGAAGCAGATCTGGGTTTCTGTCCAGCTGGGTGACTCCCTGGGTGATGGACAAGGAAGTCTGAGCTTTCGACTTGTTCCAGTGTGAGCCTTAACGATAAACAGTGAAACACAGCAGGTATGTTCTAGCATAACGCTTAGGAGGCAATCTCGCCTACCCCAATGCAAATGAGAGTGGGACTGTGTGGCTTGCAACATTCTAGTCCCTGCCTTGGCTAGATTTCTATGCTGAACGTCAGACCAGTCCAGAAGGAAGATCACTAGTTGTGTCCTGACCACATACTGTCCGTCCTTCCCAGGTGACAGGGTAGGAACAAGTTGCAGCTGGTGGCCTCAGAGAAACTCAGTTCAATGCAGGACTCTGGGACACACCCTACTAAGGTCACTTCACATCACCCCAGTTTGGAAGGCTTACTTCTTGGGTTTGTCGGTATGATATCAACACCATAACCACGTGAATGAGTTACTTCTCTTGCTGCTACACACCTAGGAAGCGCCGTAAGAGAGAAAGGGTTGGCTCTGGCTCATGGTTTGAGGGATCTGTCCATCACAGAGGGAAGGTGAGATGAAGCAGCTGGTCACATTGTGTTCACGGTCCGGAAGCAGAAAGTAAACAGGAAGTGGGGCCCTGCTAGGAAACCGGAATGTCTGTTCCCAACGGCCCACTTCCTCCATCGAGTCTCCAATTCACAGGGGCTCCACGACCTTCTCGAACGGGCGCCACCTGCTGGATATAGGGTGTTCCCACTCACGAGCCTGAGAGGGTTGTTCCACATTCAAACCCTGGCAGCATGCTTTCTTCTGAGAGAGGCGTCCTCTAGGCTCATCGCTTGTGCCTGTTCATGTAGGTTTCCCATGCCATGCAAAAATAAAAAAAAAATCATTTTTCCAAATGTACAACCACTGGAGACACCAGGAAGAGGCTTCAAACCCCTCTCTAGCCTTCGAGTTTCAGCAGAGTCCCTCCTCCCTGCTTGTGACACACATGTACAGGATTATTCAATAATAATAATTAATATTATTGGTTTTGTTCTCAGTTCTAGGAATGAAATATCCATGCTGCATTTCTGAATGAATAATGGCGAAGGGGCCGGTAGAGAGACCTGGAAAGAGGCACTCGCAGAGGTCGGGAATGTAGCTGGTGATCCTCTCTGCACACTCACCCTGCTGTGTGCTATCAGGCAAGAAGTGCACCCTCTCTGGTCCTTGAAGGGAAGGGTTTAACTAGGTACTTTCTAAGGTCTTTTTCTTTACTTCAATTTGCCTCTCTGACCTGATCCAATCTGCATCTCTTTGGTACATAAATTACTGTCATGTATGAAACTGGCTGTGATCCCTCACTGGAGATTAAAAAATAAAATCAGAATTCATAGAAAACACCATCTATCTTTTTGCATTTGAGAGACGCTTACTAAAATGCAAAAGGAAAGAATTGAAATCAAGCAGCCGAGAGATGGCTGGCCAAGCAATTACTTTGGCCAAACCTTGAATTCTTTTATCACTTTTCAAAAACTTTCCGCGGCACTTTGTCCTGGCAAATTTGATGCGATCAATATGTCCTTCGTGGGCAGACTGTTCTCTGGCGTCATCTGTCTTTCGTTCTGGAAAAACCCATTAAGTCGGGAAAGAAGTTGTGGGAAGCTTTACTGCAGAGAATGGATGGAATTTTTTTTTCTTTTTTCTTTTTTTTTTTTTCAGTACAAAATACCGCCCCACGTAGAAGGGAGTGAAGGTGGCCATCTCAGAGGCCAAGTCAAGGTGACTCCTCATCGTCGCCCTAGCAGTCTGTGAGATTGGGACACCACAGGTGCTGTCACCACTGTTCAAACCCAGTAGACAGAGAGTGGGATCAAGTCTTTTAGTTGTTCAGACATCCTTCATTCTGTGAAGGGCTTGAGGTCATACCCTCAGAGCCAGGTGGAGACTATTGGCTGGTGGCAGTCTGGAGGAGCAGGGGACAACATCATGAGGTAGTTGGTACTTCATAAGAGGGAATGCCATGGTGTCACGACACCACCATGGACCAGCGATGCATGCCCTGCATACAGGAAGCTGTAGAAACACAGAGACCAAAGATAGACAAGCCCCGCCCCCCAACCAAATCAAAAGCACCCCCCTCCCAGCAGACAGATTCTAAAGGCTTAGAGTTTGCCCTGGTGACTGGGGATGCCTTTAACCAGCAATGAAAACCTGGCTGCTAATGGCTGGTCTCTGGGAGGACAAGGAGGTCATGAGCTGACCTCTTGACCTCTGCAGATATGACCCCACCTGAGTGGCCCAGGGTAGTAGGGCCAGGTAACTTTTCCTGGGTGCCACAAAGGACCCCATTCCCTCCCAGGGACACTTTTCTCTTCCTTTTGTTACAGGTAGCCCACTGGAAATGAACATTCAGTTTATAGCCTCTTGAAAGTCTTTATTCCAGCCAGTTGGGACCATATCCAAGTATTCGGGACCTAGGTGTGGACCCGAGGGTCTAGAACATAGAGTTTTTAAAGGCAGAGACCTTGTCAAGGCATCTTGTTCAGCAGCTGAGGGTTGGGGTGGGGGGCTTTGCTGAGTAAGCAGTTTGAAGCAAGCAGGTTTTAATGGAAGCTAAGGTAAATGTTAGCCAGCTGGAGGAGGCTCTGTACAAACAGGCAGCTAAGATGGACGGTTAGTTGGAGGAAATACCACACAAGCAAGCAGTTTTAATAAAGGCTAAGATTGGTTAGCTAGAACATCCTGACCTTTGGTTCCTAGGAGAGTTGGGTAGTTTGCCATGGGATTCTCCATCAAGGAGATCAGAATTCTAGGTAACCTGGAAATGGCCTCAGCAGGAACACAAGATGGAAGAGTGTCCGCACCGTCCAGCCCTGTCACACTCTTTCTCTGAGATGTTGTCCATTCTGTCTCTGCTCATATCAGTAATTCTTTATTAAAACTGTATGATTCAGCTGGGCAGTGGTGGTGCAAACCTATGATCCCAACACTCAGGAGGCAGAGTAGGCAGATGTCTGTGAGTTGGTCAGCCTGGTCTATAGAGCGAGTTCTAGTGCAGGCTCAAAGCTACAAAGAGAAATCATGTCTTGTAAAAACAAAAACAAACAAATAAACAAAAATACAAACCGTATAGCTCTGGCCTGATAAAAACAGTTAACCCCCCTCAAAGCCTTGGCCTCAGCTTTCCCCCACAACAAACCAAAACAACGATGATCCAGCCTTGTCTCCTGGCAATGTTCTGGTTACACTGTCTTTTCTTCTCAGTGGGGAAATGAACTCCTTCAGCTCAAAGTCCGTGGCACTCCCTGAGCGGCAGTTTCCATTGTCCAGGACAAGCACTGTCTGACAATATTAATGGAAAAATTCCAAAAAGAAGCAATTCATCCCTTTTAAACTATGCATTATTTTGAGCAGCTTGAAGGCATCTCGTACCATCCTGCTCCATCCCACCAGGAGCCACCACCCCATCACCACAAACTATCCTTTATCCAGGTCACTGCTTGTTGTATGTAGCACCCAGATCACAGTCACCTGGTCACCCTCTGGATCAGTGGTTCTCAACCTTCCTAATACTGTGACCCTTTAATACAGTTCTTCATGTTGTGGTGACCCCCCAACCATAAGATTATTTTCATTGCTACTTCATAACTGTAGTTTTGCTACTGTTAGGAATTGTAATATAAATATCTGTGCTTCCTGATTGTCTTAGGCAACCCCCGTGAAAAGATTGTTTGGAGTTGTGACCCACAAGTTGAGAATCACTGCCTTGAGTGGTAAGTTCAAATGCTGTAGCCCCACCATTATTGGGAAATCCTTCCACAGTAACATTACATAATCCTTCTCATGGTGCCCACATCTTGGTAGCGATTCCCTCCTAACTGAAGCATTCTCTCCTGGAGGGAGTCTCCTCAAGGTTCAGAAACTGAGTAAAACTCACAAGTCTCAGGAAACTCCTGAAACAGAGGAGTCCCAAGGCCCCTCCCCGAAGGCAACACAAGCAGGAAGAAATGCTTCGGGGAGGAGACTCTCCAGCCAGCTGACCTGCCTGCCGTCCTGTTCAGGAGCTATGTACAGGCTTTTGTGAGTCATCACCTGAGCTGGGGTGAGTTTTGCAATCATGCAGCTGACACTGAATCACCTGTGCTCCTGTAAGGAAATCCAGCTGGCAGCCTCACCCTGCTAGATTTGGGTGCAGTCATCCCATTGGTCTGTTGCTGGTGCCTGACAAGACCACAGTGTGTCGAACTCTGTAACAGTGTGGACGGTGTTAATTCACGTCTCCTTGGGTGTTATTCCCAGGAACGGATCATTCACCTGCCTCCATCACCTGACATAGGCTTTAGAATTCACAGTGTCACAGAAAAAGTCAGTGTGGTATAACATTGAAAGAGAGACCATTTCCATGTGACTTTTATTATAGTGCATATATTATTATGGTTGTCCTATTTTATTCCTAGTTGTCAACCTCTAGTGGGCTCGCTTTCTGTACTAAACTCTATCATAGGTGCACATGTGTACAGGAAAGAACATAACATGTGTAAGAATCAGACTATCCACGCTTTCACACCATCATCAGGACTCAGAACATGTGTCCTCAGATGAGGGTGACCCATGTGGCCCAGTGAACTGTGTCCTCCCCAGAGCCCAGCATGCTGTTGGGTGCATTCGTTCACCTGTCTTAACTGTTATCACTAACCTCCTGCAGTTTGGAACCATGGCTGCAAAATTTGCAGACCCCGGGTACTCGTCTACTGCAGGATTTCCGAAATCATTCCAAGGCTCTCAAGTCTCACATCCATCCGCTCTCCCACTCTCTTGGTCACTTGCTTGCTGTGTTCTCGTGTGTGATTGGAGTGATAAGATGGCACCCATTAGACCACATTACCATATGGCATATAATCAGGTGCCAAACTATGTGGCACAAATTGCAGGAATTTAGAGATAATGAATATAAGCACGTAGATACGCCAGGCTTGTGAGGAGATTCTCCAGTTTCACGTGTGTTTATTGAGCAGGTTAAACAAAAGGAAGACTGGTTCCTTCGCTGACCCCTGACCTTGGGCCTCAGATGGGCTTGTCCAGGAAGCTGCCCTGGCATCTGCCACACCAGATCTCACCAGCAAAGGTCAGCAGTCTTCCTCTGCACCCAGTTTGGAGGAGGGCATTTACCACACTGCAGGAAAATTCTGGATTTTTGTTTTGTTTTGGTCTTAATCCCTAGATCAGTTGGGCCTACTCTGCAACTTGGTATGAATGGAATCCTTCTGCGCATGTTCTTGTGGTGGGGCTGGCTTCTCTCATGCCCATCATGGCACATCTGAACCTTACTGAGATGTTATGTATTTTAATAATTTATTTATTTGGGCTGCTGCATGGCGCCCTCTCTGGAAACACTGCAGATTGTTTCTCTATCCTGCTGTCCAGCTGGGGGAAGGGCAGGTCCTGTCTTGCCTGTTCAAGATGGCCACTTGCATGCTCTTCCTACCACGGTGATGGTGTCAGCCAGTGGAGTCAGACTGCCAAGGGTGGGAGCAGCTTGCCAAGTGACACTGAGGAAGTCATCAGAAGTCATCAGGAGTCTCTGATTTTAGATTATTTTGGGGGGGATAAGAGTGATAACACAGAGACAGG